TCGAGGCCCACATCGGGCTCCCGGCTCGGCGGGAAGCCTGCTTCTCCCTCTCCCACTCCCCCTGCTTGGGTTCCCTCTCTCACTGTCTCTCTGTCAAATAAATAAATAAAATCTTAAAAAATAAATAAATAAAATAAAAAAAGAGTATCACTTAAGTAATTTATATTTAACATTCTAAATCATTCTAATAGCTTATATTTGAGGTTCTAAAGCATTATGCTCCTTCAACTCAAGTTTATTATTAAAAGAGCAAGCCATTGAGTGTATCATATATGAAGTATGAGAAGACATCTTTTTCCCTCTATTACTCTACATTTCAGAACTAGAAATGCTTTCCTAGTATATTAAGCACTTATTCAAACAGGCAACCATATTTATTAGAGTCACTATTCTTACCTTCAAGGGTTTGATCTGATCCAAACCCATATAGGAGTCTGATCTCAGAAACACTGTATACTGATAATTTCCAGGCTTGCCTGGTGCAGGAAACTTCAGTTCTACCTAGAAGAAAAAAAACAGCACTTAAAATCCGTATTTTGAGAAATGGAAAAAACAACATCATCTAGGTCTTTTATTATATTCTTTAATAATACACTAGTAAATGTGTTTCCCTGAGTTCTAGGAGCCATTCTAGCAAATTATCGGACTCAAGGAGGGGATCATGGGAATCCCAATTCATAGCCAGCTGGTCAGAAGTACAGGTGACAACTTGAGACTTGTAAATCTGAAGCACATTGGAGACGGGGAGTCTTATGGAACTGAGCCCTTACCCTGTGGGATCTGAAGCTAACTCCAAATAAACAGTGCCAGCACTGAGTGAAGTTGCAGGACACTCAGCTGGTATGACAGAGAACTGTTCGGTGTGCGTAAAAACCCACACACCTGGTGTCAAAAGTGGTGTGAGTGTGACAGTAGTGTGAGGAAATGAGAAACACAGGAGAAGTGAGTTTTCCTTTAAAAATGCCCAATGCTGAAAAGACCATATGATTTCACTCATATGTGGAATCTAAAAAACAAATGAATAAACAAATAAAAAACAGAATCTGACCTATAAATACAGAGAAGCAACTGATGGTTGACGGAGAGAATGTTGGGGGGGGAGATGAGGGGATGAGCAAAATGGGTGAAGGGGAATGGGAAATACAGGCTTCCAGTTATGGAATTAATAAGTCATGTAAACGAAAGGTACGGCACAGAAAATACAGTCAATAATATTGTAATAGCATTGTATGCTGATAGGCAGTAGCCAAAGCTGTACTCATTGTGAACATAGTATAACATAGAGAAGTTGAATCACTGTTACATACCTGAAATTAATGTAACACTGTATGTCAACTATACTCAAATAAAAAACATGTCAGCTATATTCAAATAAAAAAAAATTTTTAAAACATGCCCAGTGCCTTAAAAGGTCAAGAAGATATTTATTTCCTATTAAATCATAAACTTCATATATACAAAGAGTTACAAACTCTTAAAAATTTCAATTCCAGGGAAAGGAAGACGGCAGGGGAATAGGAGGACCCTAGGCTCACATCATCCCATGAATACAACTAGATAACTACAAAAAATCATCCTAAATACCCCAGCAATCGAACTGAAGACTGCCAGAACAAACACCACAGCTAAGGGCTGTGAGAAGAGAGAGAAGAGGCCATGTCGAAGAAGGGAGGAAGCATGGAGACATAGTTTGGAAGAGAAATGGATCATGGCCACTGTGGTAGGGAGGGAGCTGCAGCTGCAGAGAAGAGCAAGAGACAAACCAGCACACAGGGGAGTGCATGGGGAAAAGGAATTCCCATAGCATTTCCAAGAATTTCCCTCTTGGAAAGCAAGAGGGCCCAAATTTCTTGAGTTCTTGCAACCAGCAGGGCTTAAAGCCTGGAGTTTTAAAGGTCAGCACTCTTGGCTCTGGGAGAGCTCAGATGGTACTGGGGCTGCTCTCAGAGAAAAGGAAGGGCAAACAGTCCATGGACATAGAGCATGGAAACAGTGACCTGAAAAGCGCATGGGGCTCACAGTGCGGAGGGTATTCACTCATCTCAGAGGGCATCACAGAGAGACCCCTGGCTGGGGCCATTACCCCCCACCCCCCCCTCTCAGCATAAGACAGGACCACCTGCAGGAAGCAGTGGAAGTGCCAATTCTCATTACCTAATTTGCTTACACCAAGCCCCCGGAACACCTGCACTCCAGTGGAACCACCCCTCCCAGTTACACTTGCCTCAGTCCCAGCACAGTGGGCCCCAAGTTTGGCAGGGCCTCAGTTCCCATGGCCGGTGGCAACAAGACTTGTTTCACAAGCAGACCAGAACACACCTAGTTAAAACTTGCCACATTCAGGCCACGGACCAAACACCACCCACCAACAGGCAAAGGGACCCTCTGCAGACGACTGGCCTGAAAGATAAAGCAGGCAGAACACAAAAGCAAAGCCCACACAGCACACATTGGAGACACTCTCTGAAGCACCAGGCCTTAGGGAACAAGGGACACTACACTGCAGAGCACCACAGCACCTCCTCTAAATAAAAGCCATTACTCTCAAGAACAGGAGACATAGCTGACTTTCCTACACAGAGAAACAGGCACAGAGACTTAGACAAAATGAAAAGACAGAGGACTCTCTCCCAAATGAAAGAACAGGACAAGGCCACCGCAGAAGATCTAAGCAAAACAGATATAAGTAACATGCCTGATAGAGAACCTAAAGCAATGATCATAAGGATACTCACTGGGCTTGAGTAAAGAGTGGAAGACATCAGTGAGACCATTAACACAGACCACATTCAATAGCAGAGATAAGGAGCTCAATAAACAAAACGAGACACACTTGATGGAATGAATGGCAGGGTGGAAGAAGCAGAGGAACAAATTAATGACCCAGAAGACTAAAGAAAACAATACAACAGATCAATGAAACCAAGAGTTGATTCTTTAAAAAAAAAATCAATAAAATTGATAAACCTCTACCCAGTTATCAAGAAAAGAACCAAATAAATAAAATCACAAATGAAGGAGGAGAAATAACCATCACCACCACAGAAATACAAACAATTATAAAGAGATTATTATGAAAAACTATGTGCCAACAAATTGGACAGCCTAGAAGAAATGGATAAATTCCTAGAAACATATAACCTACCGTACAACACTAAAACAGGAAGAAATAGAAAACCTGAACAGAATGATAACCAGCAAAGAAATTGAATCAGTAATCAAAAAACTCCCAAAAAACAAAAGTCCAGGATCAGATGGCTTCAAAGGAGAATTCTACCAAACATTTAAAGAAGAGTTAAATACCTATTCTCAAACTATTTCAAAAAATAGAAAAGGAAGGAAAACTTCCAAATTCATTCTATGAGGACAGCATTACCCTCATACCAAAACCAAATAAAAATAACACACAAAAAAAGAGAACTATAGGCCAATATCTCTGATGAAAACAGATGCAAAAATCCTCAATACTAGCAAAATGAATCCAACAATACATTAAAAAAATCATTCACCATGATGAAGTGAGATTTATTCTTGGGTTGCAAGGTTGGTTCACAAATCAATGTGATACATCACATCAATAAGAGAAAGGATAAAAACCATATGATCATTCCAATAGACACAGAAAAAGCAACCGACAAAGTACAAGACCCATTCATGATAAAAACCCTCAACAAGGGGCACCTGAGTGGCTCAGTCAGTTAAACATCTGACTCTTGATCTCAGCTCAGGGTCATGAGTTCAAGCCCCCACTGGGCTCCATGCTGGGTGTAGAGACTACTTAAAAGAAAAAGAAAAAAAAAAACACCTCAATAAAGTAGGTATAGAGGGAACATACCTCAACATAATAAAGGCCACCCATATATGCAAAACCCCAGTGCTAGCATCATCCTCAATGGGGTAAAACGGAGAACCTTTCCCCTAAGGTAAAGAACAAAACAAGGATGTCCACTCTCATCACTTTTATTCAACACAGTACTGGAAGTCCTAGCTGCAGCACTCAGACAACAGAAAGAAATAAAAGGCATCCAAATTGGTAAGAAAGAAAGAAATCTTTCAGTATGTGCAGATGACATGATACTATACATAGAAAACCCAAAAGACTTCACCAAAATACTGCTAGAACTGATAAAGTCGCAGGCTACAAAATCAATGTACAGAAATCTGTTGCATTTCTATACACCAATAATGAAGCAGCAGAAAGAGAAATTAAGCAATCAATCCCAATTACAAAAAATGGGATTGTACCCAAAACAATAAGATACCTAGGAATAAATCTAACTAAAGAGGTCTATTCCTGTACTCTGAAAACTATAAAACACTTGATGAAAGAAACTGAAGACACAAAAGAAATGGAAAGACATTCCAGGCTCGTGGATTGGAAGAACAAATATTTTTTAAATGTCTATACTACCCAAAGCAATCTACACATTCAATGCAATCCCTACCAAAATACCAACAGCATTTTTCCAGAACCAGAACAAATAATCCTAAAATTTGTATGAAACCTCAAAAGACCCTAAAGAGCCAAAGTAACACTGAAAAGGAAAAGCAAAGCTGGAGGCATCACAATTCCAGAGTTCAAGTTATATTACAAAGCTGAAGTGATCGAAACAGTATGGTACTGGCACAAAAACAGACACGTAGATCAATGGAACAGAACAGAAAATCCGGAAATTCAACCCACAATTATATGGTCAATTAATCTTCGACAAAGCAGGAAAGAATATCTGGTGGGAAAAAGTCTCTTCTACAAATGCTTTTGGGAAAACTGGACAGCAACATGTCCAAAAGAACCTAGACCACTTTCTTACACCGTATATAAAAATAAATTCAAATGGATTAAAGACCTAAATGTGAGACTTGAAACCACAGGAGTCCTAGAAGAGAAGACAGGCAGTATCTTCTTTGACATGGGCCATAGCAACTCTTTTCTAGATATGTCTCCTGAGGCAAGGGAAACAAAAGCAAAAATAAACTATTGGGACGTCATCACAATAAAAAAAGCTTCTGCAAAATAAACAATCAGCAAAATCTATGGAATGGGAGAAGATATTTGCAAATGATATATCTGATAAAGGGTTAGTATCCAGTGGGGCACCTGGGTGGTTCAACTGGTTAAGTGTCCAACTCTTGATTTTGGCTCAGGTCATGAACTCAGGGTCATGGGACTGATCTCTGTGTCAGGCTCCTCACTCAGCCAGGAGTCTGCTTCTCTCCCTCTCCCTCTGCCCCTCCTGCTCTCTCTCAAATAAATAAATCTTCAAAAAAAAAGGGGGGGGTTAGTATCCAAATATATAAAAAACTTATAAAACTCAATACCCAAAAAACAAGTAATCCAATTAAAAATGGGCAGAAGACACAAACAGACATTTCTTCAAAAAAGACATACAGATGGCCAACAGACACATGAAAAGATGCTCAACATGACTTATCAGGGACACACAGGCCAAACTACCATTAGATATCACCTCACACTTGTCAGAATGGCTAAAATCAAAAACATAAGAAACAACTGGTGTTGGCAAGGATGTGAAGAAAACAGAACCCTCTTGCACTGTTGGTGGGAAATGCAAACTGGTGCAGCCACTGTGAAAAACAGAACTGAGGTTCTTCAAAAAGTTAAAAACAGAAGTACCCTACGACCCAGCAATCACATTACTGGGTATTTACCCAAAAAGCGGTCATGGTCTCAGGGTCGTGGGGTCAAGCCCCATGTTGGGCTCTGTGCTCAGCAGGGAGTCTGCTTGAGATTCTCTCTCCCTCTCCCATGCCCCTCCCCCTGCTCTCTCTCTAAAATAAATAAACCTTTTTTTTTTTTTTTTAAGATTTTTTATTTATTTATTTGACAGAGAGAGACCCAGCAGAGGGGGTGGGAGAGGGAGAAGCAGGCTTCCCGCCGAGCAGGGAGCCCAATGTGGGGCTCAATCCCGGGACCCTGGGATCATGACCTGAGCCAAAGGCAGCCGCTTAACGACTGAGCCACCCAGGCGCCCCAAAATAAATAAATCCTAAAAAAAAAAAAAAAAGAGATACATGCACCCCTATGTTTATAGCAGTATTATTTATAATGGCCAAATTATGGAAGCAGATCAAATATCCATCAACTGATGAATGGATAAAGATGTGAAATATACATACAATGGACTATTACTCAGCCATAAAAAAGAATGAAATCCTGCCATTTGCAATGACATGGATGGAGCCAGAGAGTATAATGCTAAGTGAAGTCAGTCAGTCAGAGAGAGACAAACACCATAAGATTTCACTCATATGTGAAATTTAAGGAACAAAACAAATGAGAAAAGGGGGTAAAAAAGAGAGAGAGAGAGAGAGACAAACCAAGAAACAGACTCTCAACCATAGAGAACCAATGGTTACCAGAGAGGAGGTGGGCAGGGAATAGGTGAAAAAGGTGATGGGGACTAAGAAGTGCACCTGGATAAGCACCAGGTGATTAAAATAAAAATTTAAAGGAAAAAGTTTAATTTCCACTTAGACAAAGGAAGAATAAGTTATTAAGATGGCATTTGGATGTTCTGGTGATCTGCCTCCAATCTCCAAAATCCAGATTTTGTAGGCAAGATTATATATTAAAACAAACAAACTAGGAAAAACAAACTAGAAAATTCATGGGACTATCATTTTTTAAAATTAATCCCACAGTTTGACCTTTCTCAGTATACCATAAAACACAGAAATCATAAAAGAAAAAAATTACTAAATCACACTACCAAAAAAACCCAAATAAATAATGTTTGTATTTTTACTTGGTAAAAACAACTGCAATAGTAAAACAAACTGGGGAGAAATATTTGCAACAAATATCACTAAGGGATATAATATTTAAAACAACAATAATTCCCCAAACCAATTAAAAGACCAATAACCCAACAAAAATGAACAATGGTCACAATCAGACATAAAAATAAGTACAATTCAAATACACTGAAAGATGTTCAGTTTCACTCTTGAGAGAGAGACAAAATTTAAACTATACTGAGTAAAACCAGCATAGTAAAAAGTGATCAAGGCAAGAATCATCAAAGGTATTAAAATGAGTGGGTAGAAGACTAGTAGAGAACAAGATATTAACATAGTGTCCAAGTATTACCTGAAAGATTAGAGGAAAAAAATACCTTTTATAGTAGAGAAAAGCCTTAAGTAAATGTTCAGCCATGGTATCACCAATGTGGGGCAAACTGATATAATGTGCCTCATTAGAAGGTTGTCTCACTCATGTAGTATTTTTGCCAAAAATATTTAAGATGAATGTAATCATGAGTAACCAATGAGACAAATTAAAACTGAGGGATATTCTACAAAATATTTTGCCTGGACTCTTCAAAAATGTTGATGGCATGAAAAATTTAAAAGCAAAAACGCCAAGAAGAGTTCTAGAATAAAGAAGAATGACAACCAAATGCAATGCATGATCCTTGAATGGATCCTGAATTTAAAAACAGAACAAAAACTACAACAGACATTAGTGAAACATTTAAGGAAATCTGAATATGGACTGCACATTAAATACCATATCAATGGTAAATTTCCTGAATATAGTAATTTCATTGTGCTTATGTAGGAGATGGCCCTTGTTCTTATGAGATACATGTTTAAGTATTTAGAGTTACAATGTCATGATGTCTATAGGCACACATGCAGAGAAAGATATTAAACTATCTTAAATATAAGGCAAAATGTTAATTGATAAGTGTAGATAAAGGATCTATGGGAGTTCATGGTAGTGTGCTTGCAGCATTTCTATAGGTTTGAAACTTTTTTTTTTTTTAAAGATTTTTTTTTTTATTTTTTTATTTATTTTTTTGACAGAGAGAGACACAGCGAGAGCAGGAACACAAGCAGGGGGAGTGGGAGAGGGAGAAGCAGGCTTCCCGCAGAGC